CTACTTAGAAGACCTCTAAGATAGACCTCTGATTAGAATGGGCCTTGCGGGTATAAAACGTATATTCGGTGGCCTTGGGTAAAAACGTACGTACGGGATCCATAACCAAACTAGAGGAACTCGTTTGGGGATACCACCCAACCCGACAGTCAGTATCCTACTGTTCGGTTTTCTAGATTTGTACCTTAAGCGAAGGCTAGTTTAAGCGTTGGTAAATCAATCGGAATATATGTACCTTAAACTAATGACCTAGCTTAAGAGTTGGTTAGAAGTACCTTAAACTCTAATAAGTTTAAGAGTTGGATAAAAGTACATTAAAACTAGAATTAGTTTAAGAGTTGGATAGAAGTACCTTAAACTAGAACTAGTTTAAGAGTTGGTAAACATTAAAAAGATTGGCCTTAGACTAAGAATAGTTTAAGGATATTATTATTGAATGACGAATGTTGAATATTGATTATTGTATATTTGAACTGAATACTTTGTGCATGATATCAAATGATTTGATTATGAATTTGGGTTCAATTTATATGGATGTTCGACGCTTTAGATATGCTTACTCAGCTTCACCGCTGAACGTGTAGTATGTTTTATTTGCTACACGCAGGTTAATAGAAAGAATGATGGACGAGATTCTGGAGGCAGACGGAGGCGAGATTGTCGGAATGGATGTGATGGTTTTGAGTTAAAGAACATAAATAAATTATGTTTATAATTATGATTTGTTAAGCTTCCGCAATATTGAAAACTCCGCACTGTATATGTTATGAAAAATATAATCGTGATAAATAAAAGTGTTTGAAAAGTTTTAAATTTTACGATTACCAAGTTAATACTTTAGTCTGAAAGGGACTGCAGACCTGGACGGATTAGGGTGTTACATTACAAGTAGGAGAGGCATTACACATCTAAGAAACACTCTCCTATTTGATTGATCGTTTGGCATTTAGAGATATTCTAATTCTAAAAGACTAAAACCAAGTGATCAAATACAGATAGTAGAAGAAGTAAAACCACTTGATCAACCCAAGACCAAATAAAGCCTCCTTGAAGACCAAATGTACTATCAATAGCTTCCTAGTATTCATGGAGATTCCTATTGCTGTTACCCATTGCATGTGAATATCTGATTTCCTATAAAGGAATGTATTATTACACTAGTTAGAAAACAACATATTAACATATGCTAAAACATAACAGTTGGGTAGTGATAGAAACACACTCGCATAGTATTACTGGGCGGTACTCAGTTCGATCGTTGGCTATCTCAACTATATTCGAGACACGAGCATACATTGGGCAGACAATGTCTATGGATGACGTCCTGGACCCACCACCTTCATAGTGTACTAATCTTGATGGATCCTTTTCCCGTACCCATCTTGTTGTACAATATAATACCGGAGAGCTGCTAATTACTCATTAGTTAGGAAACATAAAAGCCACATATCATAATTCTTTATGAGGATAAATTTTCTGGACTTCCTTGTTTAAATTATCCATCTCAAAATACATTTTAAATAAATACAATACTTAAAGAGCACAACAAAAACAAAGAAACAAACAAACAAACAAAATGGAACCAAATAAACAAAAACACCAAAATAATTAATAGCAAACACACAGTTCATACCTCTGTATATGCATAAGAAAAATCTCGAGCCAAATTTGATTTAAAATAATAATCAGCAATAAATATCTGCAAAAGGATAGAGTCTTGTGTTGGGAATGCTGAGATCCCATTAGCCCTATTGGAGGATACAGGTAGCAAATTGTAATATATTAGCTCTTTTTTATATATAGCCTTAAAAGCCTTATTTTAATACGGAGAATTAAAACACCCCCATGTTTTCCAGTACTAACAATGCTTCATAATACTCTGTATGAAACATTAACATTTACTATTTCAAGAGTAAGATTTTACAAGATGACAGCAACTCACCTTTGGCTTTGCTAGAAGAAGAACATTGCGGTGAATGCCAGAAAGCCACCAGTGGTGTTGATCTTTAAGGTATGTATGTACCATCACTCCAGCGCATTACTTCAACAGCTAGACAATTGCAGTTATCAGACCCACATGGTTGACAAAAATCTGTTATCTCAAATTCAGCTGGCAGTCTGCTATCCTGGCTAATATGTTTTATTCGATAAAATACAGTTTGTTACTGAGAATAAAGCTAGAAATTCTGTCGGACGAAAAGAAATCCAACGCAATATGTGTGTGTTTGTGTGTGTGAAAGAGAGAACAATAAGAAGATATTGACCAACCTATATCCAACACGAACCTCACTTACCCATGTATAGAAGGCTGAATATACACCTTCAAAATGTAGAAATATCCCGCGCCTTGTACAGAACAAGGGTTACGATGTTGGGAAGATTCTCAATGATTCAATGACAATTTACACATGTGACATTTCACACATAAATAGAATACATTTATAGAAATCACTCGTGAATATCTAGAAACACAAGCGACAATGGGTGGGATTCAAAGAAATCTCAAATCCTAAAGTTCTCACCTTCCCATTCTTTAGGAAGGAAGAACATAGTCCTGTAGTAGCCAATGGGATTCTCATTAGAAACTTTGGATGGATCAAAATGAAATGGATATTTAGTGTTTGTATAAATTGGCTTGTCATATCCATGACACTGCCAATTGGAAGGCACTACAAAAAATTCAAATAAAACACTACTTGAATTAGAAAAGAGTAGTAACTAATGGTTAAAATAAATTCAAAAAAGTACAGTCTTTAGACTCTTTCCACAATATAAACTACTTCACACTACAAATTCATGCAAACATCATGAAAACCGTAATCACTTTTCAAGATAATAAAAAGGCGGGCATGGGGATTATCTACCCGGAATCTTGTTCTATTCAGAGTCCTGAAAAGAGCAACCATAAAATTCTAGAGGAACACTCGAAGGACAGGGAGCCAGGGAAAAATTCCAATACCCAGACAATGACTTGAAAATATTTAATTAATATAACTATAGAAATTGTATTAAAAACTTAGAGGATGGGATCATTTGTCAACATGGATGACAATTAAATATTTAAAACTTCTCTCTCCATGCAAAACATTATCCAAAATGGTTTAAGCTCTTCCAAACAATTCGTCCATATTATTGTCTCCATACGTATTTGTACATTTTTTACTTTTTTCAATCAAAATTGGTAAAATTTTGATTTCAAATTAAATAAAAATGATATTAAACATTGATATAAAAGTAGTTTTATTAGATTTATTATATGAACTATTTTTAAAATCCTATTTTATCTAATTAATATACAATATAAATTTTATTTAATTACAAGTCAAAGGTTAAAAAAGTTGACTGAAAAAATCAAAACTAAACAAGTATACATGGACGAAGGTAGTATTACATGTTAATGCAATGTCACTAATGGAGGTTTTCTAACTATTTCCTCAAATTCCTTGGGAAAAAATAACTATAAGAAATGTTAATGTCGGTTATAGCTATAAAACTTTTACATAATATGGTTTTTCTTTTTTATTCGTTTCAAAATATTTCTTTTATATTATAATTTTTTTTTCTTTTTTTAAAGATGACGTGTCCCAAAATCCTTCTAGTAATACTATGATGGATCTAAGATTCATAATTTTTATAGACTTATAAACGAGGGTGATAAGCATATGAGTATTAACTACTCTAATGAGCGTTTTCTTTTTTGTAAAAAATAAAACAAAAATAAAACTACTTTTGATGTGAAAATAGCTACAAAAAAATATAAACGTTTAGGTCCACCAAAGGACTCAAAGTATAGTTACTCATTTTTCACTTCCAATATATTTTTTTTAATCTCTTTGAACTCAAAATAGATGTATTTTTATGAGAGCGGTGTATTTTTTAGGGAAGAGCAAGGTGTGTGATAGCATGGTGTTTTCTTAAAACTCGTATGGTACCGTTATTTTCAAAATGGGTTGGTTTCACGACTAAAACCATTCTGTATCTATGGCTATAAATGGATAATAAAAAATACAACTACCGTCCGGATTTGTAATTGTTTATACAGAAAATATTTACATCTGTTTATAATGGTTATTATTTGTATCCAGTTACGAACATCCTACTAGTAAAATGCACAAGGACTAAGTCACTACAAAATTATACGAAGTACCTACTACTCTATAATTATAAACTCAAGATTGGTAGGTTAACAATTACTCCCTTCAGTCCATATTAATTGTCTATTATAACTATCTTGTTACATTAAAAAATCAATGAATGAAAACATAAATGTCTTCATTCATTCATTTTTTAATGTACTCCCTTCAATCCATATGATGCTATTGTGTTGTTGTTTGGGCTCTCCACTTTCTTGTTGTTTGGGTTCTTGTTCAGTACCATTCATTTTTTTAATGTACTCTCTTTAATTTGTTTGACCATGTTGTTAACTGTTTATGATAAGATTTTCAAAATCAAATTGGTAAAGACTTGAAGATAAGTATCATTGAAAAAAATGTGTTATTTTGAGACTTAGCATATCTAATGATTTGCTTAACAAAAAAACATTATTTTGGTATTTGAATTAAATTCTTAAAAAATATATGTTTGATTGTCGTTTTAACTCCTTTGAGAAGGTACATATTAAAACGAAATTCCTTTAAGGGGGAGAGAAATGTAACGACCCGAAATCCGGCTTAGTAGTTAGCCGTTATTTTAATAAAAATAAGTATTTAATTTATTTACTTAAAAAGATGACCATTTTAAATAAAAATTAGTTTTCGGATAGATCTCGTAAAATGGTGACCAACCGTATAAAGCGTGATGAGTAAAATAGATATTACAATTCAATAAATAAATATAAAGATTTTTATATAATAAGTAATATAAACCAAATAGTACGTGTCTTACCAAAGTTTTCTAAAAGCATTTGTCGATGTATACACGGAGTAATATAAAAACATACGGGTACTGACCAAAGGGCTACAAATTAGTTACGACGTATTATCGGAAAAGAGAACAGGGCTACGGGAGAACCCGCAAGAGGCAACTCGACGCGCCAATCAACGCCGCTGCAGTCGCCGACTACACAGCCACCACAGGCCACCGCTAGGTTGCCGGAAAAACTGTGACGCTGTTGTCTGCTATTTTCCTTGTCAATTGAATGATTTGGAATTGGGTTGATCTTTTATGTTGCATGAAGGTAAGTGAACGGTATTTACACCCGACACTAGGCCACTATTTGGATTGCATGATGATTTATTTAGATATTTCTATTCTCTTGACATGTTGTAGATGTGAGGTGATGTGCCTTATACTGAGGTTGTTGTTTGTTGACTAATTATCGAGTAGGATTAGGATTACCCGAGATGTTTTAGTTCTAGTAGGAATAGAATTATGGGTTATAGGTTTAATTAACTCTATATATATCTTAGCCAAGCTTGGGTTATGATATGAGAAACATATGAGAGTTTATTGTAATTGGTTTTGAGTTATTTTCCAGTTATAATAAAGAGATTGTTTCCAACAATTGGTATCAGAGCTAAATAAATAAAAAAAATAAGGAGAAAAGCTATTGTTCTCGATTGGAGCTTTTAGAAAGAAAAATCGTGCAGGTGTAGATCTGGTTTGAGTTGCTGTCAATTCCCGTCCCGATCGAAATTGCAGCACGCCGTGTCGACTTCCAGATCGCCGCCTCCATCCTCGTCTAGGTCGCGGTACGAAGAAGTCGCCACAGCCTAGGTCCCGCCACCGCCTCCGCTACAGAGGTCTCGCCGCCGCTGGAGATCTGAAGTACTGCAGGCCCGCAGCAGAGCGAAGAAGAGCTTCTGATCCAGTGAGGTTCCCCTGCATTCCAGAGCTCCTCCATCTGCGCCATCATCTTCTTGAAGTGCGGCCAAAGTCCGTAAGCAGCGGAGTCATCCGCCGGCGATAGCCACGCGTAGAAGGAGTTGCCGTCACTGTCATCTTCACTTGCAGAGCCGCCGGGAGCAACACTGACCAGATTGGGGCAAGAGTAGTAGGTTGTTGGGTACCGTCGTCGTCCGCAAGCAGTGCTAGAACAGTCGCCGTCCAATTGGTGCTGCCGTGCAGATCCATATGTCGAAAAAAAGGAGACAAAAGCAAAAAAAAGATTGGACGTAAGGTTTAATCTAATTTGCTTTAAACTCAAGTACTGGATCCTGTTACACCACTCGTGACATATAGTAGATGCAAGAAAAATATGACAGAATCAGAGACACCATAGCCGAAGGTTAAGGGAGTTGGGCTTACAACTGTCCAATGTCCCATGCTAAACGCTACGAACTACACCGTATGGGCCATGAGAATGAAAGTCGTCTTAAGGTTCATAAGGTGTGGGAAACGATTGAACCAGGCGCAGCTGATACCGAGAAGAATGATATGGCAACGACATTGTTGTTTTAATCAATTCTAGAAAATCTGATATTGCAAGTATGCAATGAGGAGACTGCAAAGGGTCTGTGGGATGCAATCAAAACTTGTCACTTTGGGGCTGAGAGGGTTAGAGAAGCTCGTTTCCAAACCCTAAATGCAGAATTTGATAAGTTGAAGATGCATTATTCAGAGTCAATTGATGATTTTGCTGAAAAGTTATCAAGTTTGGCCTCAAAATCCGTGGCCCTTGGAGAAGAGATCGAAGAGAAAAAGATGGTAAAGAAGTTTCTAAAGTCTCTTCCTCGTTCGAAAGACATCCATATAGTCACCTCGTTGGAGCAAGTTTTAGATTTGAATAAACTAGGATTTCAAGAAAGCATAGGCCGTTTGAAAGCCTACGAAGAGCGAATCAAGGAAGAGGATATAGAAACACAAAGTAAACTATTGTTCTCCAATGGTGAAAGTTCTCATTCTCAAAGGGGAGAAAACGGATCGAAAGGACAAATCCGATGCAACCAAGGTCGAGGAAGAGACCAAGACGAGGATGATGATGACCAAGATGGAAGTCAATGCCGAGATGGTCAAGATCATGGGTCAAAGCGAACGGGTCAAAGAAGAACCAATGATCGTCAGAAGGGAAGAAAGGATAGATCAAAGGTTCAGTGTTTTCGATGTGATAAATTCGGTCACTTTGCATCAGTGTGCCCGGAGCGTACGAAGAAACAAGAGGAAGCTAATTTAGCTGAAATTGATGTTCTGGATCCATCTTTGTTCATGATGAGATGTGATCAAGAGAATGTCTTTTTAAATGAAGAAGGGGTGATTCCAAAGCGTTTCGAGGTTGAACCAAAGGAGAAAGACATTTGGTATCTCGAAAACGGAGCATCGAATCACATGACGGGTAATCAAGCTTACTTCTTTGAACTTAATGAACGTGTCAAGGGAAAGGTGAAGTTTAGAGATGGATCTTGTATTGACATACGAGGAAAGGGATCTGTATTACTTGAAGGGAAAACAGGGGAGAAGCGCCTGTTGACCGATGTGTACTACATACCCAGCCTACAAAGCAACATCATAAGCCTTGGTCAAGCAACGGAAGGTGGATGCGACATTCACATGAAGTGCGATTTGCTTACCATTCATGATGACAAGGGGAAGCTTATGATGAAGGTGACGAGGACTAAGAATCATTTGTACAAGATCAATCTCAAGATAGCAAGTCCGAGTACACAAGTTAGCATGATTGGAATGAAGAATTTTGTGGGTAGGGATCTACAAAGAGTCGATCAACTGAAAGAAGGTACGCGAAGTGCGAGTCAGAATCCTCTCGAAGATCCAAGTTTAATGGAGAAACCCAAAATTCAAAGTCCAAAGAAGAATGTTCAAGAGTTTAAAAGAGATATCAAGAAAAGGATTCTAACCCAAGGAAGGACATGTAATGATCGCAAGGAGCAAGTGTTTTTTCAAGCTAAGTGGAGCCCAAAGAACACTGCAAGGGATCATGAAGAGCCTTGGGAGAATCAAGATAAAGAAGACATGCTTGGAGTTGAAAATCACCCGCAATCCAACTCAAAAATTAGGGGGTGATTGTTGAATAATTATCGAGTAGGATTAGGATTACCCGAGATGTTCTAGTTCTAGTAGGAATATAATTATGGGTTATAGGTTTAATTAGCTCTATATATATCTTAACCAAGCTTGGGTTATGATATGAGAAACATATGAGAGTTTATTGTAATTGGTTTTGAGTTATTTTCCAGTTATAATAAAGAGATTGTTTCCAGCATTGTTTGTAACGCCCCAAAAATAGGCCTATCAGATTTAATTAAATTATAATTAATTAATTACTGAGAAGGACCCAAAAATAAGTAAATTCTAAAGTTTGTTAATAAATAATGAAAATCATATCATTATGTAGAGTTTGACTGTCTGGTCCCAACGGTTCAATCGGATTTCATTTTGGAGAAAGTTGGAACAAAAAGTGTACCCCAACTGGGACCAAAATTAGTCCCAATCAGGGACTACACACCAAACGGCGCCCTGTTCAATTACGCCGATTCCAAATCGTCGCTCAATCACGGAAGCTGCAAACCTGTGTCTTCTTCTTCTCCACTAGCCTATTTAAGCACAACTCAACTCCCTCAATTCTTCACCAAAAACATTCATTCTTCCTCCTATATTGTTCCTTGCTGAGAGTAGAGTGCAGTGGTGCTGTCATCTTTGTGTGAGGTCGCCGGAGCAGTGAGATAGAGTCGCCGGAAGGTTCGCCGAAAAATCTTCAAAACCTCCCCTACGCTTCAAGGTAAGCCCGTAGATATATCTAAAGATTAGAATGTTCATATAGGTTGTTTTTACGTTCAAAAATGGTCATTTGGTTAAGTTTTGTGTTTGACATGTTTGAAGAACCAAGAATCATAAACCTTGAATTTGATGTTAAAAATATGTTGTAATAATTCTAAAATGATCTATGAACCTTGGAGAACATTTCTATATAGTTTAATTGAAGTTTGGTAACTAAAACTGATATGTCCGAAAATGGACCGAAGGTAGAAGACGATGAACAGTGATCGAAAATCAATTATTTTCTTCCTAAAAATCGATTAAAACTTGTTCAGATAACGCATATCAAAATAAAAATAATAATAATCGATTATAGTAAAGTATAAAATCGATTTTTGTATTTAATCGATTAAACTGTATTATTAAATCGAATTTTTTTCCATTTAATCGATTAATATATGTTATAAAATCGATTTTTGTATATTTAATATATTAATATATATTTAAAAATCGATTTTTGTATTAATTTATGGAGTAAATCGATTTTTCCCCAATTCCAGTGTTCCGAAAATATTCCTGGAAATATTCTATGAAAATACCAAATAATTATGAACAATTTAAATATGATTTGTATAATAAATGATATTTTGGCATATAAAACATTATGTGATGCATGACGGTAAGTTTGGGTGTTAACACCGAGACTAGGCCGATGTTTGCTATTAAATATTATGTTGAATGATCATTATGATGAATAATTATTATGGATAAATATGAATGATAAACCTACTGATTAAAATGATTATTGATGATTAAGTCATGATTAAAAATGAATTAATGGTGATTATGAAAACAGTGTATATTGTTAAGGATATCTAGAAGAACTCTAAGATATACC